ACCGTGGCTGCAACAAGTCGCAGCTGTTTGAAAGCGAGCCTCCTATCGACTGCGCTAACGCGGCCCCAAATTTATTTAATGTATAAAACCATATCTCTGTCGCTTCTACATCAGAGTATAAGTACAAGCCAGGCGTTTCGCCATGCAGGAATGAAAACTGGGGACGGGAGAGAGAGAACTCAGTTCCCTTATAACCTAGCCTCGGCAGTGGCAGGCAGCGCGTCAGTCCCATAATCACAGACTAGCTGTAAACCACAACATAAAGTGCCAGCCTTTCTGGTCAAGATGAACTCAGAAGAAAATATTCCCCGCCTAGTCTGGACCTCAGGTTAGATCGTAACCAGACGGTTTAACATGGCTTATGGGGATTTGTATAGGTAGGATTCTCATTCCGTGAGGTGCTGATCCTACCGATTGCAATCCTGGAGGGGGTTAACATGTAACTATGCAAGAAAGAAAACAACTAGGGTAACGTCAACAACGTCGCTTATGAGCAAGTTCAGCTTGACCTATGAGCAAGTTCAGCTTGACCTATGAGCAAGTTCAGTTTAACCTAGGAGCAAGTTCAGCTTGACCTATGAGCAAGTTCAGCTTGACCTATGAGCAAGTTCAGTTTGACCTATGAGCAAGTTCATCTTGACCTATGAGCAAGTTCAGTTTGACCTATGAGCAAGTTCAGTTTGACCTAGGAGCAAGTTCAGCTTGACCTATGAGCAAGTTCAGCTTGACCTATGAGCAAGTTCAGTTTAACCTATGAGAAAGTTTAGCTTGACCTCTGAGCCAGTTTAGCTTGACCTCCAAGCAAGTTTAGCTTGAGCTCTGAGCAAGTTCAATGAGAAGTTCTGAGGCGGGAAAAGTAGCGATTTGGACAACCGCATTTTGTTTCTGTAAATATCCAGATTTTATCAAAAGAAACTTTTGTGTGTGTGTGTGCAATAAATCAATGTCAATGGAGATAAGGATACGGATTCTGGCATTTTCTATAAAACCATTGTCAACATACGGCTGTGAATCATGGGCAGTTAATAAATAAGCTGAACAAATTCTTCAGGCCCAAGCGATGCGGTTTTAGAGTTCCTTGGCAGCCACAAGGAGCAACCCTGATGTTTTGAAACCGGCGAGTGCTCTAAGATAAGTTATCACAAATCTCAGAAAGAGACAGTCATTATGTGTACGTTTGTGTGTGTGTGTGTGTGGTGTGTGTTGGTGGTGTGTGTGTGATGTGTGTGTGATGTGTGTGTGGTGTGTGGTGTGTGTGTGTGCGTGTGTGATGTGTGTGTGATGTGTGTGTGTGTTGGTGGTGTGTGTGTGCGTGTGTGATGTGTGTGTGATGTGTGTGTGTGGTGTGTGTGGTGTGTGTGCGGTGTGTGTGGTGTGTGTGTGGTGTGTGTGTGCGTGCGTGTGTGTGGTGAGTGTGCGTGCGTGCGTGTGTGTGCGTGTGTGTGTGAGGTGTGTGTGTGTGGTGTGTGTGTGCGTGTGTGTTGTGTGTGTGTGTGGTGTGTGTGCGAGGTGTGTGTGTGTGTGTGTGTGCGTGCATGCATGTGTGTGTGCGTGTGTGTGTGTATGTGTGTGGGGTCATGTCATGCGAACTACGAAACAGGGACATGTTGTGACTACTGGAAAGATCTGTCGAAAAAAAAAATGAAAAGAGGAAGACAATGGCATTGAGTGGTGTCAACATACGAATTGACGCATGCTGAAGATAGTGGATTGTGGACAGGCATGATCGCCCACGCCAGTCGGTAAGGCAGTATACCTCCCTAACGACCCAGGGTAGCAGGATGGTACTTTGTCTAGTGATGACTCAAAGTCATTAGTTATAACTTCCCATGGAGAGAAAACGATTCTGCATACATGCATACAAACTGATTGAAGCGGCGGTGGAATACTCAGTGGCAAAGTGGCCAAGCCGTTTGCCTCGCCCTCTGAATGTCCTGGTTTTTTAACTGTAGCGTCGCTCAGTTCACGCATGCACATTTTTATCGAGACACATAGGGATCGTTGCTTGAGCTGTGAGATTCGTGCTTTGTGTGGCGCTGTCGGTAGGCGGTTAAAAGTTCTGCAGAGTGAGACCCAAACATATTGGATAACAGCCTGTTCAATAAAATCGAGCTTCTAGACCAGCGGTTCCCAACCTGCCGGTCGCGACCCTTTATTAGGGTCGAACGACCCCTTCACATGGTAAGACCATCAGAAAACATATATTCATTGAAGTTTTGAAGGGGAATAATTGAGGGAACTGTATTAAAGGGTCGCGACGTTAGTAAGGTCGAAAGCTATTGCTCTGGACAATAACCTTTAATCAAAGAAGGTTGAACTGGTTATCTGAGATATCTGTTGGATAATCAGCCAAGATTCGGCTCTTCGGGTTGCTCTGGTCTCAGACTGCAGGTAGCAGCCCAAAAGAAACAAATAGCGAGCCAGTCAGTCATTCAGTCAGTCAGTAATTCGGTCAGTCAGTAATTTGGTCAGTCAGTCAGTCATTTGGTCAGTCAGTCAGTCAGTCGGTAATTCGGTCAGTCAGTCAATCAGTCAGTCAATAAGGCAGTCAGTCATTCGGTCAGTCAGTAATTCGGTCAGTCAGTCGGTAATTCGGTCAGTCAGTCAATCAGTCAGTCAATAAGGCAGTCAGTCATTCGGTCAGTCAGTAATTCGGTCAGTCAGTGGGTAATTCGGTCAGTCAGTCATTTAATCAGTCAGTCATTTGGTTAGTCAATCAGTCATTCTGTCAGTCATTCGTTCAGTCAATAAGCCAGTCAGTCATTTGGTCAGTCAATCATTCAGTCTGTCAGTCATTCAGTCTGTCAGTCATTCGGTCAATCAATCAGTGAATCTTTCAGTCAGTATTCGGTCAGTCAATCAATCAGTCATTCAGTCAGTCAGTCATCGGTCATTCAATCATTCAGTCAGTCAGTCATTCAGTCAGTCAGTCATTCGGTCAGTCAATAAGCCGGTCAGTCAATTGTTCAGTCTGTCAGTCATTCAGTCAGTCATTCGGTCAGTCAATCATTGAGTCATTCAGTCAGTATTCAGTCAGTAAATCAGTCAGTCATTCAGTCATTTGGTCAGTCATTCGTTCAGTCAGTTAGACTGGGTACAAAAGACGTAGTCGTCGCAGAGCGGGAGATAACGCACTACTAAAAATTAACCGACGTGAACGTTTAACCTTTGACCTATATCTAAAGGTCAGCTACCAACCAGCACGTGGCGGACATAGCTGTTTCCGCTGGGTCGGGAATCGTTAAAAGGGTAATCGTCAGTATTTACTATTTGTAGCACATTGTTGAGAGGCAGCCAGGAAGGAGGGCCGAGTCAGTAGTCAACGAGTGCAACAAATAAATGCCCGAAACAGGAAGACATTTTTTCAAGGTGTTTAAGATAAAACTCATTGTAAAATCGCAGTATCAGGTAATTAGATCATCCCAGTTCATTCAAAACAAATAGGTAACCCATGGTTGCTGCATTCCTGTACCACCGAAAACCACACAAAGTGTCAATCAATGACCCTTGTTAAAAAATGATACAGATAAAGTCCCAGAAAAGCGAAAAGCATAAACACGCTGTAAATGCATAAGGCAGCCGTCAAAAGTGTCGACACAAACAGTCTGACACCAGAATTTCAGTTCATCGTCGATGAAAGCAGCAATTACAACTGATTAGTAGTTGCACATGTAATTAATCTCATAAGGCACCACCAGTTTCTGGTAACTGACCACTCACCATTTTCCTAATCTGCAGTTCACAAACAAACCACGCCGGGCAAAGTCGAAAAGCATTAAAAGGCAAACTTGCAGCTGACTGTGCTGCGCCAAGCTTTCACATCCGTGGCTGGACGACGGAACTATATTTCTCCAGTCTGCATGTGGAGCAAAATGCAACGGCTAAGTTTTGTCCGAAGCGAAACGCTTCCACGACTAAAACAGTAAGCCTGCCTATTCAACATACCGACCGGAAGTCACCAAACACGCACATACACACGCATACACATGTGCGCAAAATATATTCGCAGTATACTTAACATATTACCGATTCTACACTTTATAAATCTTCTTCTTCTTTGCATTCACCGGCTGTAAACTCCGGTAAACGTTTGTTGTTGTTCGTCCACTTCTGGACTGCAGTCCTGTTTCAGAACCTGAGTGTTGCGTGTGCATCCGTTTGACAGATCTGACTCATTTGTGTGCAGACTGTAGGTTCATTGCCTTTCAGGCAGATGCACTCTGACTTGGACGGAAGCATCCAGTTAGTCGACTCTTACGACATGCTTTTGGGTAGATGGTGGGTCCATTTTTGATTTCCCTATAATAGGGCCCTGGAAACCCACACAGGGAACTATATAAATGTACTTAATTCTGTCTCTGGTGTTTTCATTTTATCGCGTTTTTTCTTAAATTCCTATTTATTTTTGTTTTCATTATTACTTTCTTCTTCATTTGGTTTTTTGTTTCGCGCCCCGCCCCCTCCCAACCACCCCCCCCCTCCTCGCCTGACAATTCTCGTTTCCTATGGATCGTGCCCTCTAACCCCCTCCCCCCCCCCCCCCCCCCCCCCCCCAGAACCCCGCTGCCTGGAAACAATTTTTAGCTAAAAATCTACCCAAAGTATTTCATGATCCTCGCCGGAGCAACGGAGCTCATGCACTGCGCTTAGATTCTTAAGACTCAGGCTTGAGTCAGAAGTAGAAAGGAGCACTTTTGGTTTACAACCGTGTGCCATGCTGTTGATCCGTTGAATAAACTAACAAACACACACAATCATATATATATATATATATATATATATATATATATATATATATATATATATATATATACCAGCACTAGGCTGACGCGGTCATAATCATGCTTGTCGCATTTACTTCCCAAGACACTTCCTGGTTTCATTTTATACCAGTCTGGTCTAGGGGAATTTTGTTTGGATTCAAAAATAAGACATTGAGGCGGATAGATAAGACTTCAACCACTGCACATTGTGAAACAGTTAGTCTACAAATGACTCACCCAGTAAAGTGTAGTCTGTGTGAATTACTCCTGTCTCCGGTATAATGATCACAGCTACGTCCTGTCCTCCAGAACTTTCCGATTTCCCTGAAAGCGGCTGCATGGTCATGTGCGAACCTACTGTCCGAGTGGGGATTGTGGCAAGCAGAACATACAACAGTACAATGCAACACACTGAGAAGACCATGGTTACAATGTTGTTGCCTAGGTAAAAACACACAGAAAAATTGTCAGGCTTCAGCCCCACAACATACCACTATTACCAGGGATTATGCTTGTTGACGCTATTTTTGTTGTAGGTACTTTCATAAAAATGACCAGTGGTCAGTCAGCCGTTGTTTGATTGTGAATTAGCACAACACAAACAAGTGCATGCGAACACGGCCATGCGAAGTGGTGCCGCTTTCTGCAAGTACTCTCCTTGAATTGTTGCAAACAAAACAAATAAATAAGCCGACTTTATTCTTCTCAATTCCGACCATATGAAAAACAGCTTCCCGTCGTTTGACTAGAAATGAATGTCCCTCCCAGAGGCTCTGAATGTAACGATGGTTCAGGCCTGAGTTCAGACACGCATGAAACGACACACTGTTGGCCGTGTGCACTAGTTGCAAGTGGCAGTGGACCAGGTCAGACGAGCAAGTTCGCGGGTCATTTCTCACGAGAAGTTTGAAACAGCCTGGCGAGTAGCACCGAGTGGTAGGCATCGAGTAACTGCACCGTCACATCTCTGAAGGTCGTGGATGAATACACACAAGTGTAAGTAGTTCCACGGACGTGCTCCGGTGCGAGCGCACATTCTGTACTCAGTTGTTGCTGTCACGGTCTTTAGTGTTTGAACCTGGAATACAATAAAGGATCTTTTTTTTTACAAAAATAATTCAAATTGGCATATTTTCTTGCAGGCTTTTTTTCCAACTTTTTTCAAAACCACCCCCGTGTGGGTCGCCGGTCCCAACTGTGGGGAGAACAAGACAAGTCCATGTGCCTCCACCCCCCGGCAAGCATGTCGCATGTTGACAAATTAGGAGATTCCTTCGAAGCCGGAGGGCATTTGCTTGAGATGCAAAGAACTAGCAGTCTGCAAACCAATGATTGAGATCTGTAACATGGATGTACAGGCAACACTCAAGTTTTGGAACATGACTAGAGTGCAGAAGTGGACGAACAACCAGAACTTTCAGCTGAAGATCACGAAGAAGAAGAAGAAGAAGAAGAAACTCTATTTATAGTGTACTATATAAAAATGTAGTACAGTAACACACACACAAGATTAAAGTATTCAAACTTTCCCAGTAAAAGAAGGAAAGTGAATGATACACCTACACGCTGAAACTATATGATACACCTACACGCTGAAACTATATGATACACCTACACGCTGAAACTATATGATACACCTACACGCTGAAACTATATGATACACCTACACGCTGAAACTATATGATACACCTACACGCTGAAACTATATGATATATCTACATAGACGACAATATGAAACATCTACATACTGTGGCTAAATGATTCAATTATTTAAAAGACACATTTACATATATGTCAACGGGAGAGATTGCGCTCTGTGGCCAAGAAGTGGTCAAGCCGTTTACCTCGTGCTCTGAAGGTCGTAGGTTTGTTTTAAGGTTACGTGGCTCAGTTTACCAGTTCAATCTGTACGGAGATTCCTAGAGATCGTCGCCGGAGTAACGGAGCTCTCGGCAGGCGTCTAGCCATTGTGTGACTAGAGACCGATCTATATGTGATACAATCCGGGCACACACACAAAAACCACAAGAAACTAGATCCTATCGACTTTAACTTTATCATATAAGATTATGGATAAGTAAATTTATAAACCAAGACTATATGGGCCACCTAAGTATAAGACTATACGATATATTTACACACTGAGACTATATGCTATATCTACATTATCAGACAATATGACACATTTACACACTGATGTGATAAAGTACGTCTACTTGTTCAGGCCCCATTTACATACCGATCTGATAAAATACTCAGGTACCATTTACACACAAATATGATAAAATACTCAGGCCCTATTTACACACCGATGTGATAAGTAATCGGGCCCCATTTACACATAGATGCAATAAATACTCAAGCCCCATTTACACATCGATGTGATAAAATAATCAGGCCACAATTCCACATCGATGTGATAAAATACTAAGGCCCCATTTACACACCGATGTGATTAAAATTTACCTTCCCCATTTACAATAAAATACTCCTTTCCCATTTACACACAGATGTGACAAAATACTCCTTCTTCATTTGCACATAACATACTCCATCCGAAATTTACACATAAAATACTTCTTCCCCATTTACAATGTGATAAAATTCTCCTTCCCCATTTGCACACCGATGTGATAAAATTCTCCTTCCCCATTTGCACACCGATGTGATAAAATTCTCCTTCCCCATTTGCACACCAATGTGATAAAATTCTCCTTCCACATTTACATACCGATGTGATAAAATACTTTTTCTTCATTTACACACCAATGTGAAAAAACACTCCTTCTAAATTTACACACCGATGTGATAAAACACTCCTTCCCCATTTACACACTGATGTGATAAAATACTCTTTCTTCATTTACACACCAATGTGATAAAATACTCCTTCTCCATTTACACACCGATGTGATAAAATACTCCTTCTCCATTTACACACCGATGTGATAAAATACTCCTTCTCCATTTACACACCGATGTGATAAAATACGCAGGCTCCATTTACACACCGATGTGATAAAATATTCCTTCTCCATTTACATACTGATTTGATAAAATACTCTTTCTCCATTCACACACCAATGTAATAAAATACTCCTTCTCCATTTACACACCGATGTGATAAAATACTCCTTCTCCATTTACACACCGATGTGATAAAATACTCCTTCTCCGTTTACACACCGATGTGATAAAATACTCCTTCTCCATTTATACACCGATGTGATAAAATACGCAAGCTCCATTTACACATCAATGTGATAAATAACACCTTCTCCATTTATACACTGATGCGATAAAATACTCCTTCCCCATTTAAACACTGACGTGATAAAATACTGCTTCCCCATTTACAGATCGATGTGATAAAATACGCAGGCTCCATTTACACACCGATTTGATCAGATACATCTACATACATTTTCAAGCCATTTGAGGCGTTTACGAACACGGATTGATCAGGAAAGAGTAAGCACGACTTGAAGGTTTCTCTACAACTCATGGTAAGGAGGTAAAGACCTTAAATGCACTGGTTAAAGTCAACACTGTTAACTATTTTAAAAAACGAACATTTTTTTAAACATTTTATTCTTGTGGAAATAAACTCAGAGTTCAACATCTTTGTGGAATACATAGTTATTTATGTTAGATTTAACCGTCAGTTCTATGGGGAAACTGACAGAAAAGTGTCCATAATGTATAGCTCAGGGCGACGCAGAGATCAAACTACAGGCCGGATGCATGGTTGAATGACTCGATAAAGTCAACAGTCAATATAATAGCTCCACACACTGCGATTTCCTGCTAGTACCATTGGGCTCAGATATGAATACACAATCTTATGACGAGCATAGGCACCAGTGATGGTGTCTACCTGGGGAATCCGGAGACTTAAACTTGTTGGTCTTGCCTCGGACAGCAAAATCCTCGAGGCTTTTTTTAAAGGGGCAGATAAACTGATTGGAAAAATTAAATGTAGACTATGAAAGAGTTTTATGTTGGACATGTTGTGAGTAGGAAACAACTGGGAAAACTAATCGGTAATTTATAAATTCCAAGGAAAACGAGTAAAATGAAAATAAAGATACTGTAAAAATAAGGTAACAGTTGATTTACGTTGGCATTCAAAGTGTTTCAGCTTAACTGGTGACTGTCCTTGTTCACCGAGCAAATCACAGTATAATTGAACACTGTTTTCACTGGAGAGGTCTTTTGCCTCCCTTAACTCGCTTGTATTGGTGAGATATTGTTTCCACTTTCAATAGCCAAATTGTGTTGTGCTTGTCTTGTTCTCCACTCTACAGATAACACACGTTGATTGCAAATGGAGGCACGAAAGTCAAGCATCTAAAATCCACGAATCAAGAATGTAAAACACGCACTATGAGAATCAGTACTAAAAATGCAGAAATGTCAAATGACAGAAAGAGGCACAACCTAAAATTAGCAGTAGAGTGTAAAGATATCACACAGGCTGCGAATTTTAAAAATCTGGGATCAATCTTCACCAAAACTGGTCGATCTAATGAATAAATAAACATTTGATGCGATAAAGCAAACCAAGTATTGGCTCAGTAAACCCGACCTCACGAAACGAAGCTGTCCTATAAAATATATTCATTGCCACCTTAAGCTGTCTGTACATGCCGCATTCTTTCACAACAAGACGTATAAGAAAAGTGATTCACCACGGTAATGAGATGTTTGATGAAGGTGCTGGGAAACAACTAGAAAAAAAACATAGATAATAAAGTAATCAGAGACAGAGTCGGCATAGAACTAATACCGGCTTACATGTAAATAGAACCAATACCGGCTTACATGTAAATAGAACAAATACCGGCTTACATGTAAATAGAAGAAATAAAACTGCACACTTGAGAAAGAATATTTTGTGAAGCATCAACAACAAGAGGCGAAGGAAGTAGAGACCACGGTAGACCAAGAACAAGTGGAACAGGTAACATCAGATAAACTCTACAAGTATCAACTGCCAACAGTCCAGGCGCCCACAGAAGCCACAACCAAGGTCCTTGTCTCTGCCAGGAAGGAGAGATTCTTGTCTCAAATCTCTACAAGATGTCTTAAGCCAAACAGTTCCGGCAGTGTTGTACTAATTCACCTGTTTCACATTTTCTCCATTTACTTAGATTGCAGTGTTGTCTGTGTTTAAAGATGTTACATTGAAGTATTTCATATTTTTGTTAAGAAATGTTACATTGAAGTATTTCATATTTGTGCGATGTTATATTGCAGTATTTCTGGTCTTTTGGAGACATATATTGTATAATGCATTTTTTTTTTTTTTTTGAGATAGCATTGTTGTTCCTTTCTTTTTCTTCCCTTTTTTTAGTATGTTAGTCTTTGTATGTAGTTGCTTGTATATCCGTATTTCTCCTGCTACTTTTGTTGATTTTTGTT